GACGGATTGGTAGTGTCATTGTAAAGTCTCGGATGGTTTCTGAATCGAATTGAAGCAGGAACTGTCCGTTAGGTTTGTTCCTTTCCGAGCATATCTAGCCAAGTCCTTTTAGTCAATGCCTTCTAGTCTGGAAAGAATCAGATTAACCTTTGCAAGCATCTAAAGTTGTTCGTAAGATTAATATCCTTTTTCCTGACTATAGTACTGACTTTATTGGGTGCTATTCCTGCGCTGGCGGTGAGCTTGGTCTCTTCATGGATCGTTTTGCGAATCATTTCTACGCATTCTTCAGCGGTCAGGTTATGCGTTTCGCAATATTCGGTAATACTATTCTCGGGTATCAGGAAAGTCTCGCTTCATACGTTGAAACGTACTGACTTTAGATATGCTTCATCGGTACCTGCAGGATCCATTTCGGGGTCAAACCGTCGCAAAATGTCCATAACTGCTTTCGAAACTTCGGAATAACGAGAGTAGTGACTGCCCACTACGATGAGCCCTGGACATAGCTTCTTGGCAATGTAGGTAGCCATGCCGGACCGTACGCCAAACTTTCTGGCTTCGTAGGACGCTGTAGATAACACACTATTCCCACCCACTCCGAAAGGTTTGCCTACAAGTGTAGGGTCGTCGAGCATCTGATGTGGCAAAAGTTCTTAGGACCTTTACTGATCAAACTTCAACGAAGCGTACCTCTACGGAGGCAAAGAATGAATCCATATCAATATGCACAATGATTTGACTAAGATCCCGAGTTGCTTCGAGTTCGGCAATCATTTTGTCAGCCATAAGCTCGAGTCTTGCTTCATAGAACACCATTTTGAACGCGCCAATAGACTTTATTTTGGACGTACGTATATCAGCCATGCTTAGTAATTCGTCTCTCTGCTTCAACAACGCGTCAATCTTCTTGTTCAACTCTTCATCTTTGCGTTTCTCGTTCTTTAAACAATTTCAAGCTCAACCACGGACCATATTGGGTAGATTCGAATCATACCTGATAGAATTTACTCCCTTCACTTGCTTCAGCAATTATTCGCGTAATTTCCGTCTGGTCTACTGCCAAACCAGCCTTTCCAGTACTGGGACCAGCTAGGCGATGGAGAAGAGTATTACTGGCATTATTTGGAATATAATCCCTATTTTTTTCGGGATTCTTATCGTCCAACTTGTCCTGGACTGTGGTGGTCGAAGAGTCCATTGAGCCTCTGGGCAAAGCGCCCCGCAAGGGACGCTCGCCTAGACCTCACCACTTGACACTATA